TGTTTTTGTTCTTGGTTATCAGGTGTGTCTGCTGACTCCTTCCTTCATTCTTTTACACTGGCAAGTGCTGCTTTTAATCTACAGGTTGCTACCCCTGGGGTAAGTGAGAGTGTTTGCTATTAACTGCAGAGTATACCATGGTAGTCTGAAAACCATCAGTAGTGAATTGATTTCCCTCCCTGAGGGCTGGATCCAGACTAATACTAGTTTCCACATGTCAAGGATCACCCACAGTCTGAGCATGATTTTTCCCCACGGCCACAACAGCTCAAGATGTCCCCAGAAATCCTGTTCCTGAAGGTCTCCCCTCCTCCAGGAACAGGATTGGGGGCTGTCAGGAGGGAGGGGAGTCATGTAGATATGTCTAGTCTGGATACAAGCCCACGACTCTACTTTCTTTGGTGAATTTTTCATAGGCTGCTCTGTTTTGCGGCTGAAGGGTGCCTGAATTCAGTTCCAAGATGTATTTATATTTATTTATTTAAACATTTTATTGCTCACCTTTCCTCGTGGTTCAAGGTGGCTTACAATAATAGTTAAGACCAGGGCTATTTTTGGGCAGGAACACACAGGAACGGAGTTCCAGCTGGCTTCGGAGTTGGCCATGTTAAAACCTCTGCGTGCCTGGCTGCAGAGGGAAGGCCTGGAGAGTGACACATACCCCTGGTGACTCAGAGGCGGGCGGGCCAGGGGGGCCCTGGAAGGATCGGGGAGGCATTTCCCCCCGTCTGTCCAAGGGCCAGCTTGCCCGGGCTCCCCGCAGCCGTGGGGCACCCAGGCAAGCCACAGGAAGGCAGTTTAAACTGCCTCCCCTCCTCTCCAAGGGCCAGCTTGTCAATGACTTGTCAATTTCCCACTCGAAGCCTGCGGCCGCATTTTGACCCACGGCTTCGCCCGATTTCCCCTGCAGTTTCGTAATCCTGTTTTTTTGAGAATTGTGAAACCACGGGCAAAATCGGGCAAAACTGCGGGTCAAAATGTGGCCGTGGGGCTTCGAGTGGGAAATTGACAAGTACCATTGGGGCAAAGAGAGGAGCGAGCGCAGAGCAGCGGCTGTGGGAAATCGGTCAGAGAGTACTCCATCTTTCTGTGCTATACCTCTGAGGATGCCAGTCACAGCTACTGGCGAAACGTCAGGTTCTACAGTGCCAAGACCATGGCCACGCAACCCCGAACATCTACAGCAACTAATGAACTCCGGCTGTGAAAGCCATCGACAAAATACTGTAATAAGTACATAACATGTGCCCTGCTGGATCAGACCAGTGTTACATCCAGTCCAGCATCTTGTTTCACACAGTGACCCAAAGGTTCCCCTGAAAAGCTGGGTCATAGAGAACAAGGCCTGTCCCTGATGTTTCCTCCTGGTTTTCTGCCTCTGAATGTGAAGGTTCTCTTTAATCATCATGGCTAGTAGCCATTGATGGACCTATTCTCCATGAATCTGTGTCATCCCCTATTAAAACCATCTGTGCTAAAGTTCACAGGCAGTGAATTCCAGCATGGTGTGGTGGTTAAGAGCAGCAGACTTTAACATGGAGAACCGAGTTTGATTGTCCACTCCTCCACGTGAAGCCGGCTGGGTGACCTTGGGCCAGTTACAGTTCGCTCAGCCCCACCTGCCTCGCAAGGTGCCTGTCGTGGGGAGAGGAAGGGAACATGATTGTAAGCTGCTTTGAGACTCCTTAGGGTAGAGAAAAAGCAGGCTATAAAAACCCACTCTTCTTCTTCAACTTAATGACTTCCATAAGAACATAAGAGAAGCCAATGTTGGATCAGGCCAGTGGCCCATCTAGTCCAACACTCTGTCACACAGTGGCCAAAAATACCAGGTGCCATCAGGAGGTCCACCAGTGGGGCCAGGACACTAGAAGCCCTCCCACTGTTACGCCCCCCCCCCCCAAGCACCAAGAATACAGAGCATCACTTGCCCCAGCCTGAGAGTCCCTATCTATACCTTGTGGCTAATAGCCACTGATGGACCTCTGCTCCATATGCTTATCTAATTCCCTCTTGAAGCCGTCCATGCTTGTAGCCGCCGCCACCTCCTGTGGCAGTGAATTCCATGTGTTAATCACTCTTTGGGTGAAGAAGGACTTCCTTTTATCTGCTCTAACTCGACTGCTCATCAGTTTCATTGAGTGCCCACGAGTTCTTGTATTGTGAGAAAGGGAGAAAAGGACCTCTTTCTCAACCTGCTCTATCCCATGCATAATCTTATAAACCTCGATCATGTCACCCCTCAGCCGTCATTTCTCCAAGTTAAAGAGCCCCGTGTTTTAACCTGTCTTCGTAGGGA